CTTATTTGCTTGAATATTCTTTAAAAGTAAAAATTTTAAAGATACACTTACAAGAGGCATGGCGGTAATAAAGTTGAACAAGTACTTCTTGAAATCTTTTGTCGAGCGACCAATAATTGCACTGCAAACCACATCATGCAGAAAAAGAAAGCATTGTCAGTAGATGGAACATGTAGCGGATGGGTCACAGAAGCAGGGGTGTCTACCCTGTCAGTAAAATAAACAGGCAAAACGGGACCCAGAAATGACAAACAGCCATTTCAGACCTTCAAAAAATTGGTCAGTTTTCTTGCTCTGAAAGCCATACAAATGCTCTGTGCAATGATTAATAAGTTACTCAGCCATAGGTGCAGACAGTTATTAAATCTCATGATACCCATGCGGGCGTCATAGGGATGAAAATTACCCCAGAAATGACGGAAATATAGGAATAAAAGTGTTTCTTGAATAACACAATATCTCTGCTAACGATACCACTGCAGGGGATTAAAAAAAATATAATAATTAGCACGTAGGCATTAAAACTGCATATAAAACCAATTAAAGTCAAAGCAAGTTGGCTACAAACTATGATCTATTAACTACGTGCAAGGTATGTTACGACGAAAAATTACAAAAATGCCCCTTTTGTTGTACGGAGAGAAGCGACCAATCTGTGCTAGTCGTTCTTTCCCACAGCGCCATGGCTAAACCCAAAAACCAGAATACCCAGAATACGATACCGCTCCATTCAGAGGCGAGAGAAAAGCGCCTCGCGGGAGGAGGCAGCCTGCTTCTTTGAGCAGGTGGCCCTCTGACTTCCCCAGTCCCTGATCCCTATCAAAGGCCCAGTGTCCGTGGCCTCTGCAGGGTCTCAGGACACATGTGGGAACTTACCTTTCGATCATTGTTCCGTTCTGGATCATCCAGACATCACAGTAGGTACGGGCAACCAGCATCACTGCGATAAGGACCAGATATCCCGACTAGGACAAAAGCATAGGAGTACAGTGACTATCAAATGACTAGTACAAATAACCACAATTAAAAAAGAAAAAAAAAAAGAGTTACATAACTGTTTTGAATATTTTTGGAATGCCAATGGGTGATAACTTATAAAACACCTGTAGAAGCTTGCGAAATTAACCACTTTTAACTGGCTTGTAAGATTTCGGCAATGGTCAGATGAGAATAACTACAGAATTTAATCTTTTCTGAAATGTTTTTACTTTTGTCATATAAATATTCAGTTCATTCAGCGCAGCTTCCAACATAGTTGCTGGAGAGTGCTTGCAAAAGGCTAAGCATACTTACAAACAGATCACATTACACTGACACACACATCCATATATAATTTAAAAATATGTAATATTTAGACACTAACAAATACTGCATAATATTGTAATAGTAGCAGTTATGGGAGTAACTATTCAAATTGAAAAAATACATATTCAACAGACTCATGCCACATTTTAAAGTCCAGAATTTAAGATAATTCATTGTGACAGATTTCATCTGGGTGTTCTGACATAACCGTAAAAGTGTTGCAATAGCTCTTCACGGAACAGCACAAGGCCACAGAGGACATGTTAGTGCTCTAAAACCATTTATTATAATGATGGCAAGGCGTTCAACATGCAAAAACTAGATATCTGAACCATAAACGAGGTGGACTTCAAGATCCACCGATAATAATTAACGAAACAATGACGAATAAAGAACACCAACCTCTTTGCAAAACATACTAGGAAGCATAATCCTGCAGATCCGACAGAGACGTGCAAAGAACACCTTATCCACGGCAGCTCTGTCTTTCTTCGATTCTTTCTGCAAATGCAAAACCACGTGCGAATCGGAAGAAATGGCGTTAGTGACCCATCAAGTACGCCGCATGCATATAAATGTCAAAATTACAATCTTACAAAATAACATTAAGACGAGGTGCTGGATGATAACTGGGCGGTACAGGAAAATAGAAAAAAGATTAAAAAAAACATTTTCTCAAACATATTATGGAGTACTTACGTCATTATTCAGCTGCAGTTCTGACTGACCTTTCTTACTAGAAAACACAAATACTATTATTATTTCTAGTGAAGAAATCGGCTTTGTATGTGTGTTTGATATTTGCATGAGAGCCAGCCCGTGTAATGTACCTGTCGTGTGTATGTGTCACAGTCTGCAGGTGCGCTTTCCCCCTTACTCTCCCCCTGACTCCCCCAAACAATGGTGCCAAATGTCAAACGGGGCTGCAGAAGCCGCGGACGATCTGACACTGACGGGCAGAGCCGTTGCTGCAACTAGATGCCAGCTTTCCCAAAGCACTGTCCAGAAACGCGTCGATGGCACCTATGCTTTTTTGCCGGCTTTGCCGCGTCACTGCCGACGTTACCGGCGTGCAACATTGTAGCATCTCGACCTTATCGGATACAAAGGCTGCCATTGTTTGCCGAAAAAAGCACCGATACGAAACTGAACTGGGCCACCGATGTATTTAAAGCTATATCAAACGAGCAATTGGGAGTGCACGTCTAACCCCAGACTTCCATATTCGGACAAGGTCCTCCGCGCTACACCTGACTTCAAAGGTATCTACCGGGTTGCCTACACCCGACCTTTTCTGTGGCTATTCTATTTATATTTACAACAGAATCAGCCACAAAATTTCGCGTCCCCGGCGATCGCACCACGTACCCGTTGGGTTTGGCGGACCTCCGTCTCTGCTTGACGAGGAAAAGGATGAGGAGGACCCCGCTGATTATGGAGGAGTTCTTAGTTGTCAAGTACTTGCTGAAGGCCGCCATGTTTCGCACACCGAGTTGGCCGGTCAGAGAACAGCGTCATGCATGCCGGGATATGAGGAGGAGACTAAAGACAAACTGCCCTTGTGTAACTGCTTAACACCGAAACTGCGTGTATCCCGTCTGTCACAGTCCCATAGTAAAACTCATTGGAGTAGGAAATTGGGTATCTTAAAGCGCATCGGGGTAAATAAATGTATTACGGTAGACATAGGGGACGGACAGAAAAAGAAACGAAGGAAAAGGGACTTTTCCTAATCTAAATCAGAAACCCAGCTACAAAGATGAGTCATAAATAGGTCGGATGTTAATTATCAGTATATGTCAGCTATTAAATGGGTCTTATAATCAGCAGCTTTATGTGAGTTTTTAAAGCATCTTGAGTTCTAAAGAGGTCAAATGATGCCTGAAGAGAAGGTGCTTCCTTGCTATAGTGGCAATGGTGCTAACCACTGCGCCAGTCATCAGATGTAAATATCCCATGAGCTTAATGGGAATTTCTGGACTACAAAGTGTGACATGTGCCGAAATCCACCTACATTACCTCTCAAGGACAAGAAACGTTCCTACTTCAAGAATGTTCCAGTATCCCACCACCCATACTTTAGGACTTGCTTGACTGCATTCCAAGAAAGACTGAAATTGTCCAAAAGGCAAAGGGTGGTCCCACTTAATATGTCCTTATAAGGATTATAGTGTTAGGTCTTTAGATCGTCCATCGCTTGTATGTTTAGATTGTAAGCCACAGAAATCATCGGTATTCTGAGTTCTTATTCAACATTGTCCTCTCTATCAAATCATTTTATTAATTTACTTTCCCCGTTGTGCAAAATAGCATACAGTATGTAATATTAATAAATAAAAAAATCGGCTGCGCGTTTAATTAAGCTAAATGAGATACATGCAATAACATGAATTAACATTTGATATTTTCCCATTCGGTATCGGATTTTATCGGTAGCATTGCTTTAAAATGTCAGTAGCAACAGCAGCAAACTTGTAAAAAGAAAAAAAAAGTCCAGGATAGTCACTAGATGGCAGTAGTAGCGTTCAGACACTCGTAGGTGTTTCCTTCAGTTTGTCAGCCGCAGTCCCGACTGTATTTCCGTAGTAGTGCTTATTTCATTTTCACTGGAATTATCGTATGGGATATGTATTTTGAAAATTAACACGCAGAGGAATAGGGTTTTACTAACTTTATTGTATGAAAAAAATATATAATAAAGAAAGTTTATTGTTTTGTCCTAAAGCATAATTCTGAGGATTTTTTTATTTATTAGAAGATTTTATCCAAAGCAGCAAGCAATTGTGAAAGCAGAGTCAGCCAGTTCTTGGAAAAATTGTAGTTATAAGGGCCTTGCTCAAAGGCCAAACTGTGAATTCACTGAGTAGACCAGGGGATTGGAACTAGTGACCTTACGATCACAAGAACAAAGGTCTACCCCACAGAGCCACACATCAGACCTATTTAACTTTGGACCTGTGGGATATTATTCATATGATAGAATTGGTGCAAACACTGGGTTTGTTGAAGGTTCATATCCCAAAGGTTCTGCAACCCTGGACAAGGGCAGCTGAAAGATGGACAGAGGGATGGATGGACTGCATATATATCTGATCAGCATGTTTGTTCCAGAACAACAAATGATAAAAATGTACTCTCATGTCTCTGTAGCATTTTCACAGTATGTACAGCTATTGTATTCACCACAATTATAAATATTAATATTTACTGTAAAGTAATATTGGAATTGCATTCTAAAAGCACATCAGTCCTTTCTGTGGCATTATCAGACACTATTTAAATGGACTCTCCAGCAGACTGTATTTGATATGATAGGAAGCCTTTTACATATTGGATATCTCAAGTACCTCAAGTGGTCAAATATTTTCCGATGTACTACTTATAACCTTATCTAGGAGAACAATTCCCTTAGTAAACGGAAGAACTGAGAGAGCCATCAAACAGCACACATCGATACTCCTGCCGACACGGCATCCGTTGTACAATTACTCTGGCCTGTATGAGAAACACAAATATGTTTCCTAAGCACCTTAGAGACCCCATCGCTGCATGCAGGTCGCATTGCGCACACAGCAACAGGTAAAACACCTGTTGTTAAGGGAGGCCACTGTGATTAGATAGGTATACTCGTTTTCGCCTCCGTGCTGTTAGCCAGCCAATGAGAAGTTAGCTTGCGCATCACGTGTGAAGGGGGAGGGCTCGGTAATAGAGAAGGCAGTGAATCACGATTTTAAGTCGCTTGAAAGTGAGACAGTGTAATTCTTACAGTAACACTGTTCTTGGAGCGAGGCTTCAGAGACGGGGGTTTAGTTTAAGGGTCCAAGCCAGATTTCCGGACTTCCCGACAGGGCAATGTTACTGATGCAAAAATCAGGTGAGCGCGCTGATCTGTAAGACCCGCTGTCGTACAAAATAACTGATCTAATAAAACTATTTGGGCAAGTAAGCGCAATCCACATATTGTGAGTAGGGGCGCCTATAGTTACTTATTTGTTTGTTTTTTTGCAGATGTTACATTGCTTGTGTTTTGTCAGATCTTTGAAACTGCTATGCTCAGAACTTAAGGGGAATTGTATTTAATGTGTATTATTGACGCTGTTTAGCAAATTACTCTGTTTAATAATTATTTAACGGCACGAAGGTTGTCGTGGGTAATATTATCAGGCAGGCTACAAGTGTCATACATTACCTACTTGGGGAACATATCCAGTTTTCTACTGGTGGACTATACGTTTCGAATACAGTGTTACATGCTACCTAGATACCGGTTCGACTTAGTGATTAGTGTAGTGGGTATGCCTTATGAAGTCAATAAGGCTCTCCTGGTCTAAGCATTAAGTGTTATGGTTTATTAACAAGCTGTTTGAATATTCACCACAGAAGGTCCACATGTCGTGTTGCTCAGGTGGAACGAACTCGGTCGGTCACCTTGTTAGGCTGCAATAACTGCGACTGTTGTCGCAGTACGGTCACGTTAAAAGAAAATATTTTTCTTAATAAACTATTTCCGCGCATTTGGAGTATCTAAACCGATGTTGCACGGAAGTTTAATTTACACTGTTTCAAAGTTTGTAATTTAAAACGGTTTGCATGGGTCTTCCTTCTATGCTGTATCTTTTACGAAATAATATCGATATTTTTGGCATCCCAGGATACAGTTAATGCAATTGTATGGCATTACTCCTTAACGCTTTTTCTAAGTCTCCCAACCCTACTTTTAATATAAGGCTGGGATCGAGAAATGTGGGGTACATGCAGTTCATACTGACCTTAATGTTCTCACATTAGATTTTGATATTTTAATGATAGTGTCTGGTCAATAAGCAAAAAAGAAATAGCCACATTGTCAAGCAGCTATCCTACAGCTGTCTTAGCAGGATGAAATATTACTAAGCTTATCATATGCATGATTAGGTTTATCTTTTTTGTAACTATTGGATTTTTTTTTGTTAAAGTACGGGCATATATATGAATGAGGACGTTTCTCGTATAATGTTAGATTTTTTTGCATTACATGCAAAAGTGAGTCATGCACGATAACAGGATATTGTTTGCTATTGTTAATGTGATGATATTGTGCTATCAGAGAGGAGAATTGCCCTCTTCCTGTTCCCTTTCCTGAAGGAAAAAATAAAAAGCATCTTATTGCCTTAGGAGTCGCTCTCCATCGCCTGGAGTCACGAGGAGCTCAGTGGTGGTAAGGTGTGAATCACCCTGGGCGAGAGCTCAGCGGCGCGGGGATGTTGCGACACAGCAACAGCGGTGGAAATAAACGCACGTTGGGCATCTCCAGCCTCTTCCCCCTTTCTGCGGGCCCGGGGACCTGGGGAGCCAGCCGAAATCTGAAGGGCAGCTCTCTGAACTCCGTTGGTGTCGTCGATGGCGTGGACAGCCCTGGAGAAGACCCCGGCTACATCATGCAGCTGGTTAACGACGTGCGTCAGGTCGCTGACGTCCTCCTGCGTCTTAAGGAGTCCTTCCTGTCCGAAGGTGCGTCTTGATATTACATTTCACTCTTGGAGCTGTTATGGACAGCGTCATTCTTGACTCATGTGTGGTGGTGTTTCTCCAGATGGATATCTGGGCTGTATCTTGAGACCGGAGGTCTCTGGAGATGATCCAAATCAGCAGTAATGTTCTCATGAAGTTCTTCATGCTGTAATTCATATATGCCAGCATGGATGTCTGTTGGATCGAAATCATTCCCCCAGTAGGCCAACATAGCCAGCTGGTTATTATGACTCAAGCTACTACAAAACAGATTGCAGCCAAAATATAGTTTTTTTTTGGGCTCGTAAAACCACTTGTAAAATGTGCTATAAAAGCAAAAATGTAGCCATGGGATTTTTTGATCTGTAGTGGGCTGGACTGAGCTGCTGTTTCAGCAGTCAGTCAGATCTAGCCAATAAAGCTGTTGAGTTGCTTGGTACAGTTCTCCTTTGTACCCTCTGCTAACCTCATCCGATCTGTCAACAGCAAGCTTTCCATTACTGCACTGGCCTGGTGCTTAGTCAAGGTGCCACTTTCCCATAATCCTTCCTGTCCCTAAGTTATGTCAACAACAGGATTTCTTGGTGCTTTAGAATACAGCTATGGTCCTAGCGAATGCCCTCATCTTCTTTCTGATCGGTGACCTAGGTCGAGGTGAAGGACACGGTTATATCCGTATAATGAAAATACACCTGCAAAGCTCAGGCTATCCAAGTAACCCAAGCTAACAATCATGTCCTCTAAAATAATGAAAAAATGCAATGTAACAGTGCCAAGAATTTTTGTTTCCATTTCTAGCAACTTGAAACAAAGAAGCTCGTTTGAAGGCCAAAAAATTGTGAAACATATCCATCCTTCTCCTCCCCCATCACCCCCTGTACTGGATAAGCAGCTGGAAGATGGATTATGTAATGCTGACTCAGTGTCCTTCACACATTATATACAGCATTCCCAGAGTATGATGGTTGTAATTCTAGATAATGTTGGATTGAGTAACAGTGTATTACAGGTGTACCTTTCATAAACATACACATGGTTTACTGGGGGCTTTTTGTCTTGTGGATGTTAAATTCTTTATGCAACACCACTGCCTTATCATTCCTGCTTTTTATCTTTTAAAAATATCAGTTTGAAAAAAATGCAACCGTCGAAGTAGTTGAATCTGGCCAGAAACGGTATTTGGCCTTTTATATGTGTGGCACTTTTAAACTTTATTACAAGACTGTTCTTTTTTGTATTTATGCTTGAGCGTAATGTAAATAATGTAAATGCGGAAATCAAAAATATTGCTTTACAGAAGTTCACACTTGTTCAAAATTTCCAGACCCTGTCAACTACAGACACAAGCAAATGCACAGCTTTAATATAGTCAATGATTTCGCAGCTGGCTGTGAGTTTTTCTCTTTTTTTTTTGATGTGTTGCCGAATACCAAGTCCCATCGTAGTGTAAAGATCTGTGCAGCTGTGAACTGAAGAGTTGCTCTTAAATATGGCTCATTCTGGCCTGGCCGTGCGCGGGAAGACCAGCAGTTGGCTGGCAGTCCTAATCTTTGTTGCATTCCTCTTAATGGAGGGGTAGCTTGTGCTCTGCCTACACAGACAATCTTTGAGGTCCTGCAGAGGTTCGAGGTGATCTGCCTGTCAACGAAGCATTCCTGGAAGCCTGAAAGTATGACAAAGTACATTGTTGTTTTGTTTAATTATAACTTAAGCAAGGGATTTTTTTCCCTTTGTACTAACAGATATGAGGCCTTGTGTTTGTGTCTTCAAAGGTAAAGTGAGTGAGTTGTAGTTAGCTTGTGCTTTTTCGAATGAAGATCAGGAATATACATGCATGACAGATTTAGCTGTCAAATTATTTTTAAATAAAAAAGAATAATCAATCTACAAGAGTCAAATACTACCCAATTATATAGGGTGTTAAAAGTTGCTCTTTTTTCCTTTTTAAGGTGGGGGTGGGTCTTCTTCTGACCTATATTTTGTTCATACTTTGAAATGTGGGTGGCTGTTATCTTGATAGGAAGCACTTCACCAGTCATTAGCTGTATCTCACAGAAGTTCTGTTTAACTTCTTAAAAGCTGATGAATCAGGCCTGGGTTTGTAGACCATCCCTCAGGAGAATCACTATAATTAAACATGCGTTGTGTGTAATTAAAGATCTCCACTTGTAACGGACTCGGAAAGTGCGTGAAAAGAGTAGAAAACAGAATTTATTATTTTTTTTTTTTTTGGGGGGGAGGCTTCCTACCCCTGCATCTGTGGGTCAGCTTTACTTCATGTGCAGCTCTTGTGCATTCTCTTGTGCTTCCTTGTCTGTGAAAAAGACGCTTATACGGCTCTAGGTGATTGGTTTGTTAACCCGGAGATCAGAAACTAAAACCCGATTAAAACTAAAAAAATAATTAAAAATATGATCACGTTTTACTACTGATAGGCCTACTGGTGTTAAATGACTGATCTACATTTTACTAGGCTACATACCAATATAAACCAGTTATGATTTATTTTATTTCTTTATTTTCATGCCTCATAATAGTTAATATGTTCATACATTAAAGTTTTCCATTTAAGTTTAAATTTTAAATGTCCTGAATTCTGAGATGCTTCAGAAGCACATATGGATTCCTATTCATGGACTCATATTTATCTTTAGGTATGCCACCCGGTCATGATAAGATACATAAATACAATATGCAATATGATAGCGAAGCCAAAAAAAAAAAACTGATATATTGTAACAAAGTTGGCGGCCTGGTTTAATTTGGCCTCGCTATCATATTGCATCCCGAGCACTTAAGCATCCTAGGCATGTTTCCATGGTCGTCACTGGGCAAGTAATGGAGTATAATTACCACATTTTTGTGTTTGCTACAGCTAAACAGTTTCACTTGGCTGTTTGGGGGGGTATTTGGTGTGCTGAAGTTAGTGATTTCCCTCACTGCACCTTTATAACTGTCTTTGAAGTTGTCACTGGACCTTCTGAGAGATACATTGTATATTGGGGTTCATTTATGATTGTTCCGTAAAATGAAGTGGCTGCATGAAGTCTTGCATGCAAGTAGTAGGTTTATTTCAGACCAAATACAGGAAAAAGCTCATTAACTGGAAGACACTGTCCTGTTTGGAATAGGCAGCGTAGCTTTGTGGAATAAGGCAAGGTCTTAAGTGTCTTTTTAATACTGCAATACTCTGAAGAATAAAGAAGAATACATTTTTAAAAGCACTGCATTTGGTCTGTTATGAAAATGTTAATTGTTTGGACAATATTCTGAGTGACAGGTTTATTGGAAGTATTCATGTCATTTGCATTTGTGAATTTAAATTAATGTTTTTTTAAAACGGTGGTTGTCAAATCGTAGTAGACCTACTCAGTATTAAACCTTTCAGTCAAAAGTCCACATATCCAGTGTCCACAAGTCCTTTTGTGTCCTCCATATAAGAACCATAACACTTAATGCTTATGAAGTTCCTTCATAGTGGGTGTTTTAATATTTGTAGATTAGCCTTCCCTATGACTCTGGTAATTAGATGAGAGTTAAGATATTGGTCAACAAACATCTTCCGTGTGTGATTTTTATAGGAAATTAGGGTGCTACATAAACATGGCACCATTCTAAGTAAAATAATTTAGAGTCTCGCAATCCAGTGATTAAAATATATTTATGTCCCTTCCACCTTATGAATTTTTCCAGTTTTAGAAAATACTTGTACATATACACTGTAAGTATATGGTTTAAAATTGGCCTTTCACTGTGTAGTATGTGCCATAAAGCAACAGCATTGTTTTAATACCTAAAACAATGTCCCGGGATTCAGTGTTGTGATATATTGTTGAGAATTCACTATAATGCGCAGGAATGTGATTCAGTGGCTTGTCACGCCGATCCATCTGAAAGCTTGTTCCCATGTAAGAATAGCCAAAGGCCCGTGATTATTCCCAGTGCAAGGCTGCTGCCAATCCCTTCACAAATTCCATGTTTTTTTTTGGTATTCTTTTTATACAAGTATCGTTTTTAACCGTAAATGGTTATTATCAGTGTGTACGCAGGGAAGGGCTGGTCTGGAAAACTGTGCCGGGCTACATTTCTGAATCGTGAATGTTGCGTATGGGCAGGTTCAACTGGGTTGTAAATACAAACCTTTTCTGAATGAAGGTGTTGCTGTACGTTACTGTCCTCTGTTTCAGAACCGTCAGCGGTGAATAAACTGTTTGATAAGTATAACAGTCATTAAGCAGATTAGCTTTCATAATTTTCTTGATTCATTATGTGGATTTCAATTTAGTAGCCACTTTTGTAAATTTCTGGTTACTGTTAGTTTAATACACAATAGAACAACTTGTATGAGGAAGTTGCAGTGCTTTATGGTAATTTAAGAAGCTCATTCATGAAATTATGTAAGTGTAATGAGAATGTAAGGATTCACCTGATCTCTTTTTTTTTTTGCATTGGTAATAGAAACCACAGCAATATTTCTCTGCCAAGTTCCTCTGTTCTTTTAAATTTCCAACTTCACAATGATTTTCTAGCATATAGGGTGTCAATCTTAAAATATCTTCAAGGCCTATTTTGTTGTTACATTTTGTGAAAATAAAAATACACGTCAGTTTGAAGGTGGCTCAATGGTACAGTTGCATCATACCTCCAGGGCTGGGGGATCGAATCGTGCCTCCGATCTTGCATGGGGAGTTGCCATGTTCTCTTCGTCCCCTTTGGGTTTCCTCTTGCAGTTCGAAGACATGCAGTTAGGCTAATTGGCATCTCTAAATTACCCAAAGTGTTTGTGTGGGTGTGCGTTCATGTATGTGCCTTGCAATGGACAGAAATCTCATCCAGTATGTACCCCAACCTTGTGTCCTATGCAGCCTATCCCAGAATGCACAAGGCAGGGGACACCAAGCATGCAATGCCAGTCCTAAGAAGTACTGCATTGTAAAAGCATAGATCCCCATATTTCTGTCCTTTCCCTTGGCTTAAGACAAGCGGTGCTCACACCTGTC